TTTTTTTCTTTAATTTTTTTCCCCAGTCGGTACTAATGATAATCTTGATGTTGATTTTTTGACCTGTAAAATTGAATCTATAGCGCCTAAATGTGATCCATAGAGTTCTACGTCAATTGATTGGTGCGAACTATGTAGGACCAGTACCTGAAGCTCTAGCGCCATTATCGGAGCGTCAACCCCTTGCCCTAGACATCTGTACAGGCAACGGACTATGGTGAGCAGCTTAACTTTATTCAAGAACCCGCCAATGGGTTCCCTCCTTTCTATCAATCGCTCCTATGCTCACTTCTTTGTTTCATCGTCCGCAGGCTAACGGACATGGCCAGCGAATTTCCGCATGCTCAATTTAGAGGTTTTGATATAGGTAAGCACTTGATCTCACGCACGTTATCGCGCCATCAGTCCTTTTGACTTCCATTCCCCAAACAAACTCCTCACAAACCCACTTCATTTGCTTTCCTATGCTCAGTTCCCATTGCCACAAGATACCCGCCGTCCAACGTTCAATTTGAAATACAGGATGTCAACACCCCATATAGGTGGCGCACGGGGTCGGTCGACTTTGTACACGCCAGAAGCGTTTCCATGGCGGTAGGTTGCCTCTTTCTCCCTATTTTTCACTGTCGAACACCTTTCGTTAAACATTGGACCAGGTGTCGAACTTCTCCGCTGTCCTAGAAGAGGTCGGACGAGTCCTCCGCCCGGGTGGGCTCTTCCTTTCCTGTGAGTGGGGCTGGTACCCCTCGTTCCACCCAGCCCTGGGCCTCGATCCTTCTGAACACGCGCCTGGTATCTCTGGCTTCTTCGACGCACTCAATCAGGCGTTGGACACCTTCTGTGGCCTACAACCCATCGCAGGGACCGTCCCCCAACTGCTGACCGAGTCTGGGTACTTCATGAATATAACGCCCTCGCTACACTATGTGCCAGTCGGTGCATGGCATACTGATCTGGAGATGCAGTCCTTGGGAAGGGCTTTTAGGGCGACGCTCGTTCGATATGCCGATTCGGTGAAGCCCTTGTTGAGGGACGCAGGGTGGACGGAGGTGCAGATTGGCGGGGTTATGGAGGCGTTCTTGCATGACTTGAGGACCGTACGGGGGCTAGTGGCGGTTTTTCATACCGTGCACGCTCGCAGGTTATAGGTCGCACGAGGTCGCACGAAGGGTTTCTCTGACAATTTTTCACCTGGCCATATCTGATTTATTCTGTGTAGTGGCTCATAATTTATTTATTTTCTTCTCGGCGGTAGATAAAAATCCATTCATCCGATAAGAATGCGTATTCAAGGCCCACCGGCCCCTAACGTGTTCCATATCCGAGTCGGTGAAGAGCCAAGGCACCTTCCAAAACATCGTCTTCAGAAAGGTGGCTCGGCTCAGGCACCGTTGGATAAAAGATGGGGGGATCAATATTCAAAACAGGGCTAGAGCTAGCTGCCTCGAGGAATTTGACGGGGGGGGGGGATGGAGGAAGAGAGGCTTGAGGCTCCGCTTGACGGTGACTGTGCATACTACATATGGCGTGAGTGTCTGCAGAACCCAGGCAGAACCCAAAACATGCCTGCAGCCGATCAAGAGGGACGGTGGAATTCCCAAGCTCACGTCATTCGAACTCGACAATCAACCGGCAGCCGTTGGCCACAGTATACAATCGACGGCCGCCATTACGACAGAGTATCTACGGCTGATTTTAGGTTTATCTTTGAATCTACGGATTCGTAAATCCAAAGTCTTTCACATATTCCCTGTATCAGGAAGTGAATGAGAAAATAATAGTCGTTCAGTTCCCTTGTTCTTGTTCTGGAGAACCCATGATTCACAAGGCGGCGGCCGTTTTAACCGGCTATGACGCTCACAAGATCTGATCCCAATACCAAACGTTAACCGTATTGTGCGCTGACTACTACTTATGGGTTACCACTATTCACCCAGGCATTGGTAGGCTGTTCATTTTGCCCATGTTTTCTTACGCATCCTTTCTGTTGTGCCGCACTGGTACCTGATATGTAGTTGAGCTTGATCAACGTGGAAAAAAAATTAAAATGGGAAATGAATCGGATCTCCTAACTCCAAATACTCTTATCGTAGTCATGATGCGCTCTTGACCCGGGTCGGGGGTATACCTTGCCGAATGCTCTTATCAGATTAACTTTGGTGGACATAGATATATACTCCCATTTCTATGCAGATTCTGAGTCAGTTGCAGTGACGAAGCGTAAAAATTGTGATCAGATTTTTTCTCAAGCTGGAATGCTGAAAGATGTGAACAGCGGTGCTTGTAAAAGTGAAAGTGTGAGGAACTGAAATTATATGGCAATCTTTTATTAATCAGATATTGATTGTCTAGATCTAGGGTAGAAACGGCCACAAAACCTTTCTGGCTGACCCAAGGTCAGGGAAATCGGTGTGATGTGCGATTTGACCCCACTGAAACCTCACCGGCGAAATGACAGAAACCCACCCTTGCCGGTCCGGCTTTGGGACGAGATTCGACGGAAAAATGAGAAATCAACAGTGCGGCAGTATGTTGTAGTTTAAACGAGTTTTCCGTATTCTCTAAGGTCGTGAATGAAGAGGAATGACGCTGCAGCTGCAGCCAAATGGCCGCGGAGATTGGAAGTTATAGGACCCTCATCGGCTTGCTGATTGGACGGAATAACCCGGAAAGCAAAATCGAAAACAACTGCAAACTTTCTTGTTCTCCACCAAAAAATCTCGCGATGCTTGCGGCCAGACTGACAACAGCGCGTAACGCGCAACGTTTAGCAACTCGCTCGTTTGCCACTGTTGTTGAGAGCGCTGGCCTTAAAGTTGCTGCGGCCGAGACTGAACAACCGACTTCATCCGTGACAGTCCTCATTAAAGCTGGAAGCCGCTTCGAGACAAAGCCAGGCGTTGCAAACGCGCTGAAAAACTTTGCGTTCAAGGTCAGGGAATGGAGATGAGAGTTGTTATTGTGGTACTGAGCGAAGTTGATAGAGTACCGCAAACAGGTCGGCCATCGGGACTGTTCGCGAGGCTGAGCTTTACGGAGGCGTTCTTTCATCCAGCTTGTCGAGAGAGCATCTCGCATTGACTGCTGAGTTCCTTCGTGGTGATGAGTACGTTTATGTTGCTATTTTTTGGCCAATTTTTGACAGTCTGCAGACAATTTTTCGTTGACGTCCTCTCATCCTTCGTGAACTCTGCCAAGTTCACCCGACACGAGTTTGAAGAATACGTGTCTCCTTTGGTCGAGTCCGACGTTGCTGCCGTTAACGCTGACCCTGCAGCCCTCGCTGTAGACATCGCACACACCCTCGCTTTCCGCTCAGGCCTTGGTGCATCCGTCTTCCCCCCTTCGCATTCACATCTGACCGCGGAAGACGTCAAAGCCTTCGCCAAATCTGCCTTCAGCAAGGGTAACATCGCCGTCATTGGTTCAGGCATCTCCGCATCTCAACTTTCTCAACTTGTTGAGAAATCGTTTGCCTCAGTCCCTACCTCCACGTCTGCTGTTGCCACCCCTGCCTCCTCATATTTCGGTGGAGAGACCCGTGTCGATTCTCACAGTGGACCACAGACTGTCTTCATTGGTTTTGGCGCTACTGGTGGACTTTCTGCTGAGCTCGCCGTTCTGGCCGCTCACCTGTCACCCGCACCCTCTGTCAAATGGTCACAAGGTTCCTCTTCCTTCGCCTCCGCACTTCCTGCTGCTTCGTCAGTACAGACCGTGTATCTCCCTTACTCAGACGCGACCCTTGTCGGTGTCGTCGTCCAGGGTGCAACCGCGGCCGATGTTAAGACTGCTGCTACTGCTGCGGTCACGCAGTTGAAAAACGCTGCAGCAGGTTTGTCCGAGGAAGATCTTAAGAAGGCAGTCGCGAAAGCTAAGTTTACTGCTGCGACGCCGGGCGTGAGGATTATGGAAAGCTCAAGGTCTTCGAGATTTGGAGCCGAGTTTACCATGTTCAAAATTTCGAGGATCTGCTGAGGGTCAGGGGAGTATACCGATACTGATAAAGTCGACAGAGAGGTAAGAGGCATCGAAGACGTCCCCGAAAGCAGTGTGCATGATTCGAGATGAAACGAGCGCAACCGGGGGGTAAGATTTGCAAAGGGAAGGTCGGGTAAGGTCAGCTCAGGAGATGGTATGTCTGGCCTCTTTTGGATCACTATAAGTTTTTCGAGAATGGGTGCTGGTTTCGTCAAGTACGAGACGACCTTCTGGAGTCGTGATCCGCATAAGGTAAGTTCGCGGATGCGGTGCATCTCATTCAGAGCTGTCATAGAACCACTTAGCGCGTCATCTTCCTTCAGAAATGGCAAGGTCAAACGCAATGGCATCGCTCCTGAGCGTGGCAAAGCTACTTGAATAACCCAGTCTTGTTTTCGGTTAGATGCCGCAGTCCATAATTGAGGACAGTTGAGCGCGACACGACGCCATGACGTGCAGACACCCGCTACTGCGATATAACTGAAGAGGTCATCGTACTGCATCGACATGCCCCATAAAAATATTCGGGCCAGCAGCTCATCAGGCAATCGTGCAGTGATGGCGATAGAGTTGTGGCGAATCTTGAGCATCTGAATCGACTCAAGTAGGATGAGGATCTCTTTCTGGATCTGAGTGCGAGCGATGTCCCTCTCATCATTTTGGCTATAACAGGAAATTCCAAGGGAACTGCTTTGGAGAATATCGATGATGGATTTCGAGTCTATGGCAGCGGGGACAACTTGCATTAGAACCAGCGATTTGAAAATACAAAGATAATTACCCATGGCCACTGCTGTTCCTCTTGCTCTAAGAAGACTTGAATGAAATTCACCAAGATGAGACGGACGTTACTGATAGACGAAACGCGGCACACCAGCACGTGTAAGCAAAAAGGAAAAGGCGTGGCGAGGAATCAACGACTCAAGAAAACAAGTGGAATCTGCCGAACTTCAATCTGCGTCCCCCATACATCACAAATCTCTTCAATACCGATGGGGAAAAAGACACCAATGGTCAAATCCGACCTGCCTGAGTTGAACAGGCGACTTCGAGATTAAATGTTTAGCCATTACAGTCTCACACTCTAACCAACTGAGTTAAGGTCGGATATGGTGGACAGGTGTTATTGACTTCCAAATTTATTTACAATGGAAAATCCAGGTTGAGTGGAATCTGCCTAACTTCAATCGTGTATCACCTTGGTATCACCCAACTGCCATTGCTTTTGGCCAGATAAGATGACTGACAAAATGTCCTTGCTAAAATAATTCCCCCGCGCATCGCTCCCAGTCACTACAATAATTTATCGATCGACAAGCTCAAACGTCTGGGTATATTCTCGTATGGTCGAGACAGCTTCTTCATACCCTTCAGTCAGGCTATTCCAATCGACCAGAGTGATCTTGGAGAGCGGAGCTCCTAACGTATGTCGTGCTTCTGCAAAAGCTGCCAATATCCAGGTAATAAACTCGCTACTATCCGACCCACCGTAGCCTTTACTACGCAAATTTTCAACAGATTTGAAGTTAGTGGGAGCACGGAGGTCAGCTGCTTTTACTAGGCCTCTGATCTCAACCAACAAATCATGACCGCTTTCTCTTCGCCTGCGTGTCATTGCCTCTTTCGTATAGTCATCCCGATACTTCAAATCCCAAAGCATAAATCTTTTGAGCACGCCCTCCATTTCTTCATCTGCGACACCGACGCCTGACAGTAACATTTTAGTGAGTGGAGAATAGTCTGGAGCCACTGTCAAAGTAAGAAGGGCGGGAAGAGAGCCAAAGCGTTCACGTAATGGCTCGTATATCCAATATTCTGCTCCTTCAAGAGTTGCGAGGTGGAGGAGAGATAAAGTTGAAAAGAGCGAACCGACGTGAGAGCTGCTTGAACGGTTACAGGGGAAAGTAACGAGAGTTTTAGATGTCGGGCGGTCACCATTGCCTTGGATCTCCACGCCGTCACGAGTCCACGCTATACGAGTAATTGACGTTAACTGCAGTATTTGCAAGGAAACATCTTCTCCGAATACTTCAGAAGCGCCAGAGGGTTGGGAGATGTCCTCATTGCAATGAACGGTGAGAGTTGAGACAGCTGGTAGATCGAACAAAGACAGGAAAGTAACACAATTCCGAAGGGTCTTGCCGATCAAGGTAAAATCCCTCAGTCGAGCAAGTACAAATTTCGAAAATGACGATGGTGGATTGAATGTTTCGCCGGGGGCGAGCAATAGGTAAAGCTTGAAGTATTCGAGATTTGGAGCCGAGTTTGCCATGTTAAAAGTCTCGAGGATTCGGTCAGAGTCAGCGAAGTATATCGTGACTGATAAAATCGACAGGGAGGTAAGAGGCATCCATGAACGTAGTGTGCATGATTCGGTATAAAACGAGCGCAACCGGGGGGTCAGATTTGCAAAAGGAGCGTCGGGTAATGTCAGCTGTGCACATGACATTTCCTTCCTCGCTTGCATCACAAGTTTTTCGAGAATTGGTGCTGGTTTCGTCAAGTACGAGACGACCTCCTCAAGTCGTGATCCGCATAACGTGAGTTCGCGGATGCGGTGCATTTCATTCAAAGCCGCAATAGAACCGCTTAGCGCATCATCTTCCATAAAAAATGGTAAGGTCAAACGCAACGGCATCGCTCCCGAGCGTGGCAAAGCGACTTGAAGAACCCAGTCTTGTTTCCGGTTATAGGCCGCAGTCCACAATTGAGGACAATTCAGCGCGACACGTCGCCATGACGTGCAGACACCGGCCACTGTAATATACTTGCAAAGGTGCTCGTACTGCATCGACATGCCCCACATAAATATTCGGGCCAGCAGTTCATCGGGCAATCGTGCAGTGATAGCCATAGAGTTGTGGCGAGTCTTGAGCATTCGAATCGACTCAAGTAGGATGGAGATCTCTTTTTGGATCTGAGTGCGAGCAAGGTCCCTCTCCTCATTTGGGCTATAACAAGAAATTTCAAGGGCACTGCTTTGGAGCATATCGATGATGGATTTTGAGTCTACGACAGCGGAAACAACTCGCATTAGAACTGGCAGCTTTTTGAAAATACGAAGATAATTACCCATGCTCAGATTGATCTTGATCTGAGCAAACTTGAATGCACTGGAAGAAGGATAATTCCACAAGATGACCGTTGCCAACTCAAGAGAGACGGACGTTACTGATAAGTAGGTGACTTAGACTAACGCGGACGGCACACCAGCACGTGTAAGCAAAAGGGAAAAGGCGTGGAGAGGTGTTGACGCAGATCAAAAAATCAAGTGGAATCTGCCGAACTTCACTCGTCCCGCAACAAGATACGAATGGGCAAATCCGACCTGCCTGAGTCGAACAGGCGACTTCGAGATTAAATGTT